TTTAAATATGTACAAATATTTTTTAAATTGTGTATATCTAATTATAAACTAGAAAGAAATCGTTTCTTCTGTTCATTAAATGAGTATCTTTGGAATATAAATCACAATTTAAATTAAGGTTATAATAAATTTGATGTGGGCGTAAAAGAAAAAGAAGTTTTAAAGATATGTATCATTAATATGAGCCTTAATGAAATTAACACTGTTAATTAAGTACAGGGTATTTATTATTTATTACGTTATTTTTATGCGGTATTAAATACAATTAACCCTACTAACAATGGGTATTGTTCTCGTTTATCTTTTGTAAATGGTACATTTTAAATTTATGAAAGACCTTTTCATTGTAAATAATTCCTTTGTAACAACTTTATACTTCCTTTCAAATTCGTTCCAATTAAGAAAATATACATGACGTGAAATTTTCGTATCTGTACAACATTAAATACATTTAACCAATCAATATTTTTATAATAATTGAAGAAATGATCTTAATTAAGCGAAACAAATTATAATAATTAATAATTCTTTTTAATTTACCCATTATAATTACAATTTTCATTTAGTTAGATATATTTTAACGACGTTGTTTGATGTATATAATCAACTTAAGATAATTCGGGATAACTAGCTTCTGTACGAATTCTCTACTAATTTTCCATTTAATTATATAAATTATATAAATTAAAATAATTTAGACAATCAGATAATGATTTTGTATAGAATATGTAAAGGAATTTCCATCTTTTATAATGGTAACTGTTACGAGTATCACGTAATAATCTTTGGGTGAAAGTAAAGTAACGTAACATATGTTTGGGATATTGAAATGCACAGAAAATAATAATGGTAACGGTTAAGAATATCACGCGATAATTATCTTCGGGTGAAAGTAAAGTGTGGAAACATGTTTTTGGGGTTTCGAGATGCCCAGAACAAACCATTCCACGTGATTACCGTTGTTTACGAAATGTTCTTTTTCTAGAACTTGCTTCTGGATGTAGTTACCATAGTAACAGACGGAAGTGCCCTTGATGATGCCGTCATTTTTATATACAACACTTTCAAGTTTTTTGAAATCTCGATATTTTTTGTCAACCGTCGCCTCGAGCAATTAACGTTAAAATGTATACGTTTTAACACAGATTTTGACAGAATAAATTTTTTTTTTTTTTAATTTTTTCGAAATTGTTTTTTCATTTAAAAATAATTTTCTCGATTTATTATTTAAATTCAATACTTATAAATTTTCTTTTAATTATTTTAAAACGATTTCAATATCGTAAAAAAATATATTATTTTTCTACTGTAAAAAAAATAATCTGCTTTAAATCAATCTTTAAGAATTTAATATAAATAAAAATTAAATCATTTTTAAATTATTTTTTTATTTTCAGTTTAAGAAAAAATATAAATTATTTTTTAAATAAATAATATATTATTATTAT